CCGGCAGCCGCCGGGAGACTTTCCGGCGCTCCGAGCTGCTGCTGCCCCACGGGCACGGGCTGGACGCCTCGGCGCTGGCCGATAACCTGGGCCTGCACGACATGGCCCACCAGATGGAGGAGGTGCAGGTAAGGAGAGATAATCTCCCTCCTCAGAGACCCCGTCCCCTTCTGCACATCCCATCCGCTTCTGCACATCCCATCTCCTTCTGCACATCCCATCCCCTTCTGCACATCCCATCCCCTTCTGCACATCCCATCCCCTTCTGCACATCCCATCCCCTTCTGCACATCCCGTCCCCTTCTGCACACCGCATCCCCTTCTGCACATCCCGTCCCCTTCTGCACATCCCATCCCCTTCTGCACATCCCGTCCCCTTCTGCACATCCCATCCGCTTCTGCACATCCCGTCCCCTTCTGCACATCCCATCCCCTTCTGCACACCGCATCCCCTTCTGCACATCCCATCCCATCCCCTTCTGCACATCCCATCCCCGTCCGTGCGGATAAACGCTCCTCTTCTCCCCTTCTCCCTTCGGGATGCGGCTGCGCGGGGAGGGGGTGGATTTCCCCGGCTTTTTCCCCCTCTCAGCTCCTCCAGGTGCGAAACTTTCTCCCCCTTTCTCTTTCCAGAATGTGGAAGACCAACACTTACTAATGCATGACCAGACAGTCATTAGAAAAGGTCAGTAAGGTGGCACCGCAGTTTTACTTTCCCTTGTCAATAGTTAAAAGTTTCGTGACGCACCGCTGAAGTGACGCCCTATTATTTTTATAAAGACCGATCCTTTGGGATCGGGAGGGTGGAGGAGTTTTTATTCCACTCTCTGCCGCTGGAATTTTCTAATGATGTCCGAGGGAAGGTGGCGGCGGGGACAAAGTGCCCTGGGAACACGACTGTCCCCCATCGAGTGCTCTTGTGTTCCGGCTTTAATCGAAACCAGGAGCTTGAACCGATTTTAATCTTTCCTGAAATACGTGCGTGTAAAGTGACACGGGGATTTTCTTTTGTTTGTTTGGGTTTTTTTGTTGCTGTTAGCACTCGAAGACTTTTTTTTTTCCCTTTTTTTTTTTTCAACTTCTTTACAAGACTTGAGAAGAGACTGAGTTCTCTGGCAGAAGACTGTTTGGCTTTATCTTAATCGAAATTGGTTTGTAGCTGAGGTTTTGAGGAAGGAGGAAGACGTATTGACTCAATTTACAGTAATTTAGGGTTTTTTCCTTGCTTTTGTTTTTAAACAAATTTGTGCTTTAAAAAAAAAAAAAAAATCAGAAGTTTCCTCTGAAGACTTCAAACAAATACCTAACTGAGGAAAAGCAGAAGTGTGTGTCAGAGCGCTGATTGCTGCCTTTAGCTCATGGGAGAATAATTTCGCTGTCAGATGCACCACTGACAAATCTTCCCCCTCCGGGAGTGGGGCCGAGCTCGGCTCTTTAACCCTTTCAGCAGCAGCACTGGGAGAACTGGGTGGACTGGCGAGGGCATGGAAGAGCTGCATCTGTGCTCTGCTCCTTCCTTTGTTGTCCCTCCTCACCTAAAGGCTGAAGCTCTTAACGAGGAGCAGCTCCTTACTTTGGCTTCTCCCCTGCCTCCCTCTCTGCTGTGCTGCTGTCTGCTAGGAATTTGTTGGGATTAAATTCCAAAGGCGGTTTTTCAAACCTGCGTGTGCGAGGTGGAAGATGAAGCCCAGCAGGAGCTTGGGAGGTTTCTCCTCGCCCTGGCTTGGGCAGAGTTTTGGCAGCAGCTGGAGGATGCTAATTTGGAGTCTGTTGTAGCACCGAGTTTTTGTGAGCGCGGCTTTGCTACCCCTGCCCCAGAGGTGTGGGCTTTGTGTGCCTTGAAAAGCGTTCTTGGTAGCGTTCTGCAGCTCTTTGCAACCCAGTGGCAAAATCCAGCTGGAATTTGTTCTGGGGAGTAGTTTTGGGGCCCTTTGGGTGCCTGTGCTGCAGATGGATGCTGGGGAACGGGACACGAGCACTGAACACCAAACAAAAGCCTCTCTCCCGAGTTGTTTTATAGAAAGGACGTAGCAAATGAGTTTTCTATTTATTTTTCCCGTGTATAAAATACCTGCTTTCCCTCCTCCTCCCGCAGGTCCCATCTCCCTAACGAAAAACAGCGCTCTGAGCCTGCCCTGCCAAAAGGATGGATTAATTGGGGTGGTGATCAACCCCAACGAAGTGTTTTGCTCCGTGCCAGGGAGGCTCTCCCTGCTCAGCTCCACGTCCAAGTACAAAGTGACAGTGGCAGAGGTGCAGAGGCGGCTCTCGCCCCCGGAGTGTCTCAATGCCTCCCTGCTAGGAGGAGTCCTGCGAAGGTAGGATGGATGATTCCCTCCCTCCCCTCCGTATTTCCCCGGTGTTTGTGTTTCCCTGGCTTTGCTGTGTGTCTGCAGCCACATCGGCACAAGCACAGAGACTTTCAGCCGGTTCCTGATTTTTCAGAAGCCCAACGACGCTGAATCCTAATAGGCTTTGGAAATAAAACTCCTTTGCACTTCTGCTGCCTCTGGAGAAGTGTTATTAACAGCTCTGACAGCAATTCTCATTCTCTGTTTAGAGCTGGGGTTTTTGTCTCAAAACCAGCACGTGGAGCTGTCTCTGATTCCCAAGCCCCTGTGGAATTATTTTTTTATTAAATCTCCTGATTTATCATTACAAGGACATTTGCTACATCCCTTTTTTGCATACACTTCATTTGGCTCTCCTGATCGTTCTACAGCTGTTGGTTTCAGTGGTGCAGTTTGAAATATTTTGATTTTGACCTGCTGTGTTTCATCCTGGCTGGTTTGAAGTAGAGCATTTAAAAAGTAGGTCACTTGAAAAGAGCCTGTTTTTTATCTTCTCCCCACCCCAGTAGAACCCTATTGAATGTCAGTAACTGGAATTTCTCATCTTAAAAAGAAGTGTTCCCTGAAGATAAATAAGACCATTTTTTTCCTTTTTAATTGCAGAGCCAAATCTAAAAATGGTGGCAGATCATTAAGGGAAAAACTGGATAAAATTGGCTTGAATCTTCCTGCTGGCAGAAGGAAAGCAGCAAATGTGACACTATTGACATCTTTGGTGGAAGGTCAGTCCCGAGTTTATTTAAAAATGAACTTTCTCCCCTTGTGCACAGCTTTTATCCTCTAGGCAAAGCATGGAAAGGTTAAAAAGCCCTTGAAAGTAAAATGGGGTTTTTTTTGTCTGTTTTAAAGTGAGCACAGTGGGGACCTCGCAGCACCTAAGGAAGGGCTGTGCTGCCTTTGAGGGGCTCTTCTGTCCCCTGTGAGCCACAAAGCCACTGCTCCTGTTTCTCCCTGGGGTGCTGGCAGGGATGCAGAATTGCTCCGAGCCAGGAGGTGCCAAAGGCCCCTTTGTCCTGCCTGACTCCTTTTGGGTTTCACAAGGGATGGCAAAAAGGGGTGAAACTCCTCACATCAGGGCCTTTGGTTCCTTGTTGGGAAACTTTGGGACTCTGGGACAGCTGACTGCAGTCCTGCCCTACCTCAGCGGTGTCCTCAGGAGCTTTGCTAATAAACAAGCTTATAAAGTGAGATTTATAGCTTTTGACTTCCTGCAAGGAAACTGGAGCCCCTTTAATGTGTGCCATGCTCTGTGGACCCTCTGTCAGTGCAGCTGACCTGCAGGGTGTGTATATATGGACGTGTGTGGTTTATATTTGGTGCTCCTGTTTCAAGCAGCTCCTGGCAGTGGCACAGTTTAATAGGAATAGAAGCAGCAACTGAAATGAAAAGAGTGAAAAATGACCTAACAATACCTTCCTGCTGTTTATAATGCAGAAACTTGCATTTAAAAGCTTTCCTTGGGAAGTTTTGGAGAGCTGATGTGTGTTCACGTGCGCACAGGCACATTGCACACCAATCTCTTTTATTTTAAGTTTGATCAAACTGTTTTAATGAAGAAAAAAAAAAAGTGACCTGGTTATACACCTTGCAATTTGGTTTTCTGTCTGAAAATTCCTGTGCATTCCTTCTTTCACAAAAGCATACTAGACTAAAAACTTTTATTATAATGTGGGATTTAATTGGCAGATATTTTAAATATCATGATCATGTCTGGATCATGTTCTTTGCTGTGCAGTTATTCTGGATAGAGACAGGAATTTTTCTTTCTAGTATAAAAGCAAGAGAATTCTTTTGTTGTAGCAGTCAACCCCATAAATCTCTTTTTATTTCTTGATACAAACTTATAAAGAAACACTGAACCATCAATTAAAAATGGTAGTGAGTAGGTGTCCCCTCCCAAAACAGGAATACAGCATTTTTTTCCATAATATCCCTGATTTCCTGACAATAAATGATGTTGTACAATTTAACAAGCCCTCCCTTTCACCCACCCAGGTGAAGCTGTGCATCTTGCTCGTGACTTTGGCTACGTGTGTGAGACAGAGTTTCCTTCCAAAGCAGTGGCTGAATATTTAACCAGACCACACATGGGCCGCAACGAAATGGCAAACAGGAAGAACATGCTCCTTGCTGCAAAGTGAGTTTTCAGCTTGGATTTTATTTCTTTTCTCCTTTTTGAACGTGTTTTCGTCTGACTGTGACTGTCTGTGACTGGGGGATAGCTTGGTAGATTTTTGTGTGTAATTTTAATTAGGAAGATGAGGCAATTCTTTTTATTTGGTTTTGGTTTGAATTCAGCTATGGCAGCAGTTTTATTTCGGTCTGAAGCAATAAGAAGGGTAACAATCCTGTAGGTAACTAAAGCAGTTTGGACTGGTTCTGTTCAACTGCAGGGAAAACTTGAGGAAAAGTCCTACACCAGGAGAGCCCTAAGGAAAAGGTGTCCCCAGGAGTGGCTGGGAATGTGAGCAGTGTCAGGGCTCTGGACAAGGGCAGCTCAGCCCCTGTGTCCTCCCAGCTTTCCCCTGGCACTCAGCGAGCCGGGAGCTGCTGGAGAGTCCCTTTTTCCCTATTATGGCTGAAGATTTTTATAGTTCACTGGAAGCGTCCTGAGCAGGTCCCTGGGAGGAAATACCTGGCTTCAGTTAAGCTTATCTAAAACTGGTGTTTGGAGAGCTCAACTTTCCCCTTTCCCCTGCTGAGTTCCCCTGCCAGGCTCAGGTTTAACAGAGCTTCACATCATGATTTGTTCTGCTCTGAGATGTTTTCTGGTTTGGGGCTTTTGACAGCACCCTCCCTCTGCAGAGGGGCTGAGAAAAACCTGCTAAACTGCTGAGAAAGTTGTCCTGACTTTGTGCTCACCTCAGGCATGCAAAACACACTCCTGGTGCTGAATCCATCCAGCCTTCCTTTAAAAGAGATCTTTTTTTACAAGAATACATCTCTTAAAAATTCAGAAATCTAGTCTCCCTTGCCTATAGTTTAAACATTATGCAAATTTTTCCTGAGCACTCCTCCTGCCCTGAGTATTTTCATTATTGGCATTGTTACTGGCACTAATAAAAATCCTCTGGAAGACGTTTGTGATTGAGAAATTCTGATAAAGTGATGATTCTGTTAAGATTGCTCAGCTCCTGTGAAATCCCTTCAAGGGGACAGATTTCCAAGCAGCAAACAACATATGCTGGAGCATTATTAAGCACTCATGTTTTGCCAGGCATATGTGTTAGTGTTTGCAGGATCAGGGCCTCGGCCTCCCTACATATACATGGAATATACACAACTAAATTAAATCCCCTCTTCAGCTGCCCCAGCCTTTCTGCAGCTGGGAAAGTTCTCAGAGAAACCAGCACTGAATTCCCACCCCAAATCTGGAGCAAACGATGCAGAGCCAGGCAGGCACCAGATTATTTTGCAGTGTTTTTGTGATGGGGATGAAGCAGAAGATTCGTCAGGAAGTCTAGAAATCCAATCTCCCTTGCCTATAGTTTAAACACGAGGCTGATTTGTTGTTTTTTTTAATTTTAGACACCGAATTTCTCATAGTTCCCGCACAAATGCCAGATATTTGACGCAGATTTCTGGGTTATTTGAGTTTATCTGCGTGGTGTAAAGTGTGAGCCCTTTGTGTGTTGCAGGCAGATCTGTAAGGAATTCACAGACCTCCTCACTCAGGACAGAACTCCTCTGGGAAACACAAGACCCAGCCCCATCTTGGACCCTGGCATCCAGGGCTGTTTGACTCATTTTAGCCTGATCACACATGGCTTTGGGAGCGCTGCCATCTGTGCTGCCATGACATCCGTCCAGAACTACCTAAATGAAGCGTTAAAAATTGCAGACAAATCCTACATGAACGCTGGAGACCAGAGCCCCGCAGAGACCAACAAAACCATTGACAAAATGGACAAGCACAGGAAGTGAAAGGAAAACCAGACTTTATCCTTCCTCCTACACACAGACTCAGATCTTCTTGCCAGGGGGAACATAGAGATTTGGGAGGTTTATTTTTCCTTTTTTTTTTTTTTTTTTTTTTTTTTTAAAGAAAAGAGGGGAAAAAGGGGAGTTAAAAAAAGAAATAATCCATGATCTTCACTCCTGCTGGATCCGTGAGACAAGTCTTGCTAAAAGCTGCAGTATCCCTGTTGTGTGGAAACAATTCCCTGAAGATAAGTACCTGGGAAAGGGGGGGGGGGGGGTTGATGGAATTATACAGAGAAATTTATTTAGATTCCTTTTTTTTCCACATCTCAGTATCTCGTGGCTGAGCAGCTTCACGTGTAGTTTTTCCAGAGACAGATTTTAGACAGAAGCCTGTTTTGCTCTCTGATACAATTTCAGGGGTTCATTCTCTCAAAACGCAACAATAACAATAAAGCAGTATTAAACAATGGTGTAGAGATTTATGTACATTAAAATTTTTTTATAAACACCTGAAAATAGTAAGATTATTCTGTGGGATTGTTTTTTTTTTTTTAGTTTTTTTTGTTGAGTTTTTTTTATTTGTGTTTTTTTTTTCCTTTATTTTCAGATTAACATAGAAGAGTACTAAAATCCTACTAGATTTAAGATGGCATTTGACATGCTTATTTTTTACAGAAATATTCAGGCTTTTAAAAGCTGCAGCAATGTTGGCTGCAGTTTATATTATCTTGGTTTTTTTTTAACAAGGACTAGTTCAAAATGAAAATACTTTTAGAAAATTCACTTTCTGTGTCTAAGGATATTGCAGCTTTATTCACATATTTATATTGTCTTGTTTTTAAATTTGGGGGGGAAACTTGAAAGAATAGGCACATAACTTTTTTTTTTTAAACTTTTTTTTTTGTTTTGCCTATAAAGGCCAAAAAAATACTTCCAGGGAGGCTTTATGTGTATTAAGGGAAGCAGTGTGTTGAATGTAAATATTTATTTATGTGTAATTTAATCGGATTTGTAAATAATGGTGAACTTTTTAATACTTTTTTTTATAAATGGGTTTCAAATTTTAATTTTGGTAAGTATTTCAAAGGTAATGGGTAAGCTAAACATATCTTTAGGTTTATGCACAGGTATGTTATACAGGGTATTTAAGACTTTATTTTTTTTTTTTTTTTAAATCTCAATTCTTGCCACTGAAGAATAGATTTAATCTGAGGTGTTTGTTCACAAAGCAATAATTTTGTGCATCATTCACCTGGTAACTGAGTAGACATGCAAAAAAAAAAAACCAACAAAAACGAGTGTGTGAGTTAGTGTGTATGTGAATAATGGAGGTTATATGGAATAATTCACATATTTGTAAATGTTCCCACTATAATTCTGATGTATATGATAACCATATAATAAAAGTATTCTGGCTAGAAGCATGGAATGTTTTGTTAAGTGAGAGCAGCTCTGTTTTCTTTCTCTGCTCGGGGAGTGTGGGGCGAGTAGCACTAGAGGACATTATGTATTGAGTCATAATTGCAGCACTTTGTTCGGATTAACAGAACAGAAAGATGAAGCTGTTTGCCAGTAAAACTAATGGTTTCAATTAAACACGTTATGTATCTCCAAGAATCTTTTTCTTTTTTTTTTTTCCCTTTCCTAAGATGTCATGATCTTGCCTTCTGCCTGCTTAAATAGGCAGCTCAAGCACAAACTCTGCGAGGCTGCCTCCCAATAAAAACCAATAAAATACAAACCAATCCCACCAGCTCTGGCTCCTGGATCTGCCTGTGTTGCAATAATCTGTCTCCAAATATTCACAAAAACCTGGCTGTACAATTTGAGAGGTCTCCCATTCATTTTACTGATTTGAGGAAGTTTTTACGTTTGGCAGAAAGTCCTCCGAGCGTTTTGTGCCACAGGTGTGAGGCAGGAGCTGGAATTTTGGGTGTCTCAGATGGAAAATAACCAAACAAACCTTCCTGAAGAGAAATTTGGCCTTTTTTTTATTTTTATTTTTTTTTCCCCCAGTGCTTTCTGAAAAAGGAACCCAAATCTGGGCTTTAGGGCATCCTTGGCCCTGCAAGACCTGATCAGTCCTTGAGGAAGGTGGCACTGGGCTGTCAAGTGACAATTCCGTTCACATCCCCACAGTTTCTTCCAGAGATGCATAAAAGAGGCAAAATTTCTGAGCATCTTGCTTATAAATCATTTTTATGTTCTCATTTTCCCTTTAAAGGATAAAGGAAACCCGCTGGAGGTGTGCAGGGAGAAGAAAGGAAAGGGAAGCACAAAGAAATGAGTGCCTGTCAGTGGTGAACTGGGAGAAAAAGCTGGTTTTGGGTTGCAATCCAGTCCCCTTCTCTCCTAAAGAGGTGTGAAATTCCAGCCTTTGCATTTGTTAGACTCATTGTAGCATTTCAGAAATGAGCATTTTGGACCATCTGTAGGCACAGGCACAGCCAGGACACATGATGACTAACAGAACTTCTAAAAAACACAAACAAGCTGCCCTTCTGAAGGGTATTTTTATGGATTTTATATATTTACACACAGAAATCTGCTGGGTACGGTGAGAGCTTGTTTAGAGAATGCAATGCTACAGTTCTGTTCCTTTTTTTCCTCTTCCTGCTGCTGGGCTGCTTATCCAGCATATATAGGAAGATATTTGAGCTACCAGACAATGGAATCTTGTGTTGTTTTTTTTTTTTTTTTCCTTTTTTTATTATTAATGCACAAAACCAGGCAGTGAAATAATTGCCCCTTGGGATAGGAAATAAGGATGTTTCCATTTATTCCTGCGTGCATTCAAGCAAAGCCAGTCAATTGTCTAATGTACTGACTCGGGTTCTATTCATATGTGTGGAACATTAGAAATGTGGAGTTTCCATTACCTTAGAGCTTTTCTTTACTGTGTATTTGAGCTGGGATCTTCTTTTGAAGCTCAACCACCTTCTAAGCTGTGCCAGCACCATGAAACAACAGCAATGTCTGCTGCTCCATCCCTGGAAAGTTCAACTCATCTCACCCAAAGTTATTAATCGTAAGGAATGTGTTAATTCTTGGGGAATCTGAAAAGCTGAGTGATCTGAGCACTCAAGAAGCCATGTGCTTCTTCCTGATCCTCAAAATTTCATCTTTTTTACTGTTTTCACACTGATTATTCCTGAGCTGGCTAAAATATAAAGAAGTTCTAACGTAAGGGATGGTTCAAATCACCCTGTCCAATCTTTTCTTTTGCACATCTCCCATCAAAAAAACAAATTTGGTCACAATGGGAAGGAAAAAGGTTTTAAACTATTGGGGTTTTGAAAGTAAAAATTATTAAAGCACTGTCCTCCTACAAAAATAACCATAAAAGAGTTGAGTTCATGTTACTCAGTAAAAAATCCACTTGTGGAAAAAGAAAATATTTGAGACATCTCTTGCCTGGTTGGCAGCAGCAGTTGGGCTCTTCCCAGGTGGATCCATGGCAGGCAGGGAGCTGATTCCTTCCCCATCACTAAGAGAGGCCTAATTACCACACAACATTAATTGCAAACCCCAGGGCTACTCAAGAGTCCACCTATGAAACTGTGACTTCACGGCATTGCTGCTTTCAGTTTAAAAAGAATTTTATTTTTCCTGCTGTTTGCAGCTTCAGAGAAATAATGATGCAAAGCTAGTCAAATATTAAATAAAAATAGAACTTTTGTCTTAAATTTAGTAACTGATTTCAGTTCACTTTATTTTTGACTCTGTTTTAATTTGCCCTCCACTTATTTCACTGTTGTTTATTGTTTCTGCCTGACTCTTGGCTGCAGCCCTGCTGCCTGTTCCTTCAGAATTCTGCAATATGAGTAAACCCAGAAATGCATCTTGAAATGTGTCTGCCTTGCTGTGGTAGCTGGCTGTGCTTTGTTGCAGCCCTTTTTCCTCTGTTTTGTCCTGCATGCAGTGTTTATGGAGATCCTTGCAGATATTTTGGCCTAATTGTGGTGTGGAGCCTCCCTCCTGACAGGGGTTTGGGCTTCCCTTGGGAACTTTGGTTTTATTAAGAGAAAAAGGGGTGCTGCTCACACTTTGTCCCCAAACTGTTACTTCACCAAGAGAACACGAGGTCAGGGACAAAGCTGCTTCCCTGCCATTCAAGGAACTCTCTGAATTCTGTGTTTATTGATAATGCAGGTTTTGTGGGGGGGATCTGGAGTTTTGTCAAACCCTACAGGGATGGTGACCCGAGGAGCTGAGCCACAGGAGATGTGTTCCCAAAGCCAGACCCCGTGTCTTTGTGAAGTCTGGCTGTTCCCAAACCAGCTGTGGCTGTCAGGACATTCCTCTGGTGCCATTCCTGTGCCCCATGCCCCACGACCCATGGAACTCCATGGGTGACCCTCTGCCCAAATCCCTCAGGGCTCCCCCTTGCTCAGGAGATCATCCTTAGATTCTGTTCTGTGTCGTTCGCTGCCTTCTCCCTCTTCTATTTTCACTTTCACAGGGTTATAGAAATAAGTTTATTCCCAGTTTCAGATGCCACTTTGCATTCATTGGATGTTCCTGTCTGTCTCACAGGGATGCTCCAGCTGGTTTCCATGTACCATTGTTGTGTAAGGGCTGCCCACAAATATTCCCTTTTTCCTCTCCTTTAGCTAAACAGCCCTTTTTAACTGGTTCTTGTGAAGGCCTTTCTCACTGCTATGCCAGGACACATTCCCTAAATATTCATATGGAATATTTCTTACTCATAATTTAAAATTAAAAGCTTGTAGTAATACAGACACTTGCTCTGTGCCACAAAACTCAAATACTTGTTTGTGAGTGCAGAAGAAATCCAGAGATTGACAATGAACCAAGTAACAGGAGAGATCTTTTAGGTGAGCATAGAGTTTATATTTTCAGCATAAAACCAAAGGGGAAGTGGCAGTTTCAAACAAGGGTTGAAAGATGATGTTCTTCAGCTGATTGCTGCAATAAAACAATTATTTGTGATTAATTGAAATAGTTCTTCAGTGACAGAAAGTGGTTGAAAATTCTGCCAGCTCCCTTGCTAAAGAGAGAGAAGGGAAAATATTTGATTTCAGCTCTCTGGCAGGATAATTCCTGTCTGGAAGCAGAAACCACTTCTGCCAGGTCTTCAT